GTGACAACTGAAGATTGTTTTTACTTAAATCAAGGAAAACCTTTGATTTTTTCTCGGTCATAAGTTCTAAGGAACTTTTTCGAGTGTCTTAGACCGTTGGAGGACACCCATTCCAAGTTACGGATGGAGTCTTCCAGATTCTTCAGTTCCGCTTTCAGTTGGTTCCCGTTTGGAAAACAGAACGGTTCTGGTCCAGTTAGTGGAGTGTTCGCTCCTTTTCTAGCTGGATCATTTGCTTCTTCATTGCCTTCCATCCCTTGGTGAGCAGGCACCCAGAGTAGGAGGACTTTATTTTCTTTGCCTAACTTGTTGAGCTTCTCTAGGCATTCTTTGACCAACTTCGAATTGATGGTTACTGAGTTGATCGCGTTAAGTGCGATGTTATGATGGAAATGTTGTGTGATATGAAAAAGCAACAAAATATATTATCGATTGCAGCAACTATACCTAGTTTAGATTCAGTATGTCTAATTAATATAGAACATTATACCTATGCATGATTTTAAAAATTTGCTACCATTATATTTTGATAGTTGAGTTTTTGAAATTATTTGTTAGCTTCTTAAACAAAACAGACCCATAATAATTCAAATCTTTATCATCCAAGTCTTCCAAGAATTATAAAGTAATCTCACGTCAAAATTTTTTGAAATTATTGCATGCCTTAAATGTTTGCAAAGTTAACAAAAATATGTCTTTGATTACCTGCAATTAATATATTTGGTCCAATTTATCAGTTCTGCATCATATCCGAAATTCAGATTGTGTGTGACAACGAAGAGTCAACGTGCAACGTGAACGACAAGAAAATGGCAAGTAAAAAAATTGTAAAGTCTTAATTACTAATTACACAGTCGTTCTCTTGAGTTCTCCTGCCTAAAATCTATATTGCCTTCCCTAAGATTTTAAATATAAATGATTGAAACTCATACAGGTTTACCACAATTTAAACTTAAGATAATTATTTAGTTATTAAATTCATAATTATATTAAAATATAACACTTACGAAGTTACTAAATATTAGATACAGGGGTGTCAAGGTGTTTTCTAATAGATCTTTTTTATTATCTCAAAGATCCGTTGGCCAATTTTGTTGAAATTTCGCCGTGTTATGAAATTTAATAAGTTAGCACCAATTAAATGATAATTATTATTTACAACAATATTTAAACGATAAAAACTTATCCCAATAAATATTTAGCACCGCCTTGAATTCATTTGTTTTTACGCCTGTTGGCGGTGGAAACCATGCAAGCTTTTTCTTTGTCCTAAGTTGTTAATTAAAAAAATAATTATCATATAAAAAAATATAGGTCCTAATAGCCTAAATTTTATCAAAATATATCAGCAGATCCGACGAGACCCGAATTATTATATGTTTTGGAACTTAATGATTTAATTAATTATTCCATTTAATGCATCGATTATGCGCATTATCCTACGCGCCAAGAAAAAATATTGCGTTAGTCTAAATTTATTATTTATGTTATTCCGCTCTTTCACGTATAATTTGCCCCTGCTACTCATACAGAAAAGAGTTAGATTAAAATATAGCCTCCAACTGTACCTAACAACCCATGCATGCCTTGACGCATATTCTTTTTTATAATAATATCGGCTTTCACAGACTAAACATCCATATCCATAAAATAGTTGGCCCACACTAATAAGACCTCATTTCGGCCCTCGCACGTCCTTGCTATTCAGCTATCGACTTACGTGTTGACAAGTTGATTAGGCAGGTTATTGAACTCCAAGTCGCCTCTAGCATGTCGTTTTTTCAAAGATGGGTCCCATATAAACGCGGCCAGAAGTATTTTCAATACTAAAATGCGATAACTATTTCACATACATAACCGGGCGCGAAGTATCATCTTTATGTAGTTGTCATCTTTAGAACAGAATTGCTACTGAGACAAAAACACAGATATGCAACCACTACGACCAAGTGTGTCAAATATACACAAATAAGAATATTTAATGGAACATCGACCTACGCCCAACGGATATTGTTTTATTGAATTTAGTAAAATTGCGGTACAAAATTCCTGACCCGCCCGCTCGGCGGTTAAAGGTGGTAGACAATGTTTAATTTAAAATAACTGTAATGTTGAATTTCCATTGGTTTTACTACGTACATATATTTTAGGTTTGTTCCAACATAGCAGCAAACTGTTGTTCCATTAACGAGAGAATCGTATAGCGAACTTTTGCCTTGAATTGTGAGCGGTGATTTCATTGCCAGCTTAAAAGCAAGAATCAGGTTCAAAAGCAAGAAATTAAGCGTGGAAGTCACTGCGAAAATTTTGGTATTTGGTTGCTACATTAAGTTATACCAGCAAAAAAAATAAAGGTGAACCTAATTAAAAATAAGATGTTTCCTCTCCGAAACGGTAAGTAGCTAAACGACCAGTGAAGCCTGTACGGTTAGAGTTAATGGAGCTCTATATTCGTCCCATTTAAACTGTGTTTCGAAAATGCCTAGTCTCCAAGATATTCAATTTGAAAGATTTCAATTGTCAATTTTCTGGATATAACCTTTGAAAAAAATCTAATTTTTTATTTATTAACTTTTTCCACTTTTCAGTGACCTGTTCATATTGGTACGGTTGGAAGACGTTTAATGTAAGAACGTGGCTAACGTCATATTCAAGGCCTGACTGTTTTGACAGTTCTACCGAAGTGGTCCAGAATTAGTAGTCGAAACAAACCAATTGTTTTCATTAGTTTCGCAACAAATCTCTGTTTTTTACGCGTTTCTATGCTAATAAAATTATACTAAATAATTTTGATTATAGTAACACCGGCGATGCCGGCTGTGTGTCCGGACTAGGAAAAAGTTGGGGAATTTATGTAAAAACATAATTAATAGCGTTAGTGCTAGTGTATAGTGTTAAACCAACGTAAGTGACGTGTATTTTTATGTAAAACAGTTTTCGTTTCTTTATTTTTACTTTGTGAAATAAAAAATTCCGCGACATTGTTCTGTGCCTGTGCCTTGTAGCAGCAATTATAATAAGTCCTCAGGATCTGTCTACATTCTCTTTCCCAACAATATTAACTGTAACTAGGTCACGTCCAAAACCTACGAACTTGCTGTGCCTACAATTTTTCCAAATCAACCCTCTTATGAACCCTCTGTGCATGTTCCCATAAAGAGAAAACGTCCCGATGAAAGAAAACAAGATTTGGAAATTCAGGATGAAATAAATATTGAAAAGTATTATTATTATTATGAAATGGCAAATATATTTTAAAGAAATTAAATGAATTTGTACTTTATTTCAGTATTTTATATAAAAAAAATGATATCATTATCTTTTTATTTACGATTTATGGAGATGGTTACTTGATGAACATCGAACTACAAATTACTTAATCTTAATAGTTAGTTCTATCTGATATCCACATTTTTTAAATATGTTACGCAAATTTTTACAATTATTTTTAATTAAACTTTAAAATGTATTCTGCCGTTATCATATACAATACATTTTCTTAACTTGTCGATAAACGTATAGTTTTCAAATTTTTTAATATTTGGAAACTTTTTATCACAGGTATATTATCACTAGTTGCTAAATACTCGCTAACGCAATTTTAGGACACGCTTTTTATTATCTAGATTTAATTTTTTCATCTTATGCTGTAGTTTATGTCATATTAATATTCGTGCTTTAGATCTAAATTTTAATGCTATTCAATTACTTTAACGCGATAAAAAGTTAATGTTATTTTTTAATACCTTTCTGTATAATATTTTTCATATTTATATCTGGCGAAACTATCAATAAATACTATTATTTATGCAAAACCTATATGCAGTACCATATGGCACAATACAAAAGCCGGATTAGTGCGGTGACGTCACAAATCGATGTCTCTGGCCTGTCTGTCATGTTGGTCATGGTAAGAATTATAAATGCAATTTGATCCCCTTTTTAGGTTATGTTGTATTTTAAAAAAATTGCCGAAAATGAAATGAAAATTAAAATATATAATATTTTCTTACACTGTATGTATTTTTTTTGGCAAACTGTGTATACTAAAAAAATTAACTAATCAATATCTTTCAACAACGGAATAAGTGAAAAAAGTTCAATTTTGGCCGGGAAAATTTTTGGAAATTTTCCTTTTTTCAACTTTTTTTAGGGTATCTACCAAACCCTTCAATTCTAAGAAACCATTGATGCACCGTCGGATAGACGACTGAATGGACTGAATATCTCGGAAATATCTCGGAAAAGGTAAATAGCTAAAAGACCAGTGAAGCCTCTACAGATATAGCTAGTGGATCCCTATAATCGAGTTTTTTTCACTTATAGTTAATATAATATATAATAGTTAAATTTTTTAGTATACACACTTTGTCAAAAAGTACAAACAGGGTGAGAAAAAAAATAAAAACCGATTTTTTCATTTTCAGTATCTTTTTTTAAATACAACATAAAGAAAAAGGCCTCTAAAAAGAAGGCCAAAATCTAGGAAATCGACAATCGAAATTTTTCAAATTAAATATCTCGGAAACTCAGCATTTTCGAAACACAGTTTAAATGGGTCGAATATAGAGCTCTATTTGTAGAGGCCTCACTGGTCGTTTAGCTACTTACCTTTTTCGAGAGGAAGAAACATGTTATTTTTATTTACACCTTTTTTTCTGCTGGTATAATTTAATGTAGTGACAAATGCCAAAATCTTCGAAGTGACTTTCACACTTAATTTCAACTTTTGAAGCTCATTTAAAAAGCCCGCGCTTCGACCCATTTAAAACAAGCCCTACTCAATAGATGGCGCCACTTCTGTAGGACCATTTTTCAGTATGGCAGAGTCCATTCTTTTTCTAGCTAGGTATATTCTTTGTTTCAACTTTAACACCTCAAAAATCATTTAGAATCATAAAAAAGGTCCCCTTGTTAAAACACACGGATTTTGGTAGCTCGAGCGGACTGTTAGTATTTGTTTTATCTAATATGTTTCATATTAGACAGTAAATAAAACATTAAATAAATTAATTTGCTATTTTCCTTACCAGGTAATCAACTTTATGATTGCACTGATCCAATATCTCCTCCGCGGTGGTGTCGTAGTGTGCCAGTGGATTTCCCGGATTGGAAAACTGGAAAATGGAAATATCGTATAGGTAGATAACTCCAGTAATTTAATAACTTACCTGGTCCAGTATTAGAGAATCGGGAATTTCGTTGTGTAATCGATTTGCTACGCCAAAAATTCCCTCGGTAGAATACGAGTCGGCTGTGATTGGTGTCTTAATCGGTTTTCTGCTCCTAATGCTGTTATTACTGCCACTTTCTCGTTCGACATCTTTTCGCTCATGACTATTATACACTTGTATCCTGAAAAAAATATATACAGTATATACTAACATTATTTATGGTTATTGCCTATATTTATTTAGCAAATTTGTTCAGCATATTTATGGTAGACGATTTTAGATATTCCCAATCAACCATTGCCATTACAAACATTAACTTTATTGTCGAGATTGAAGAATACAGGGTGGTCCGAACTGTATTTTAGAAACTTCGGTAGCATATTCTGCAGATAAAAATAAGTAAAAAAGTTCGTATAAATGTATGTCCTAAAATGCTTAGTTTCTGAGATATATGGTGTAGAAATTTTTATTTCGATTTTTTCCAAATAATTTCTGAAGTAACGTTAATATTGGGATGAAAATTGGTATCTGGGAGTTTTTTAACATGAGAAATTTGATTTTGATATCAATATGATTCGTACTTATATGTAGAGGGCGCCACCTACATACTTATTAACTGCTTTGAAGAGTAATAACTTTTCGTCAGTACCTGTATAAAACTACTGAGTAAAAAATATACGTTTACCATATTTTTTACGTAAAAAAGGTCTCTTGCTAAAAATCGCTACGAGTAACGGATCTCGAGATATTTGGAATCGAAATTATCAATACCTGTCATCATTGACACAAGTTAAATATGTTGATTAAATAGTTGTTAGACTTAAATCATAAATTTGAATTTTTTTGTGCCAAAAGTTCAACAGAGACTGTCTTATCATCATTTTTTCGAATAAAAATTTGTTATCAATTTAAAAAATAAAATTAAAAAGTTCCTAAATTTATCAATTCAGCCAAATAATTATCTAGTGAACATGTTTATTTTTTGTCAATATTGACATGTATTGACTACTTCCATTGAAATATCTTGAGAGCGGTTGCTTGTAGCGATTTTTACCAAGAGCGATTTTTATCCAGACACATTATTTACGTAAAAAATAACGGAAATGTATATTTCTTGACTTAGTAGTTTTATACAGGCACGGACGAAAAGTTATTACCCTTTAAAAGAGTTAAAACACATGTAAGGGGCGCCACCTAAAAATAGGAGTCATATTAACATCAAAATCAAATTTTTCATGTCAAAAAACTCCCAGACACCAATTTTCATCCAAATATTGACGTTATTTCTGAAATTATATGGAAAAAATTGAAATAAAAATGATATTTCTACACCCTGTATCTCCGAAACTAAGCATCTTCGGACATACATTTATACGAACTTTTTATACTTATTTTTATCTGCAGAATATGCTGCCGAAATTCCCGGAATACAGTTCGGACCACCTTATAATTCTTTTCTTGTTATTCTTAATCAAGGAGCATTAAAAGCGATCAACTCAGTCAATACAAAGTTGATGAAAGAATGACTAGAGAAGCCGAACAAATTAGGCAAAGAAAATAATCCTCCTATTCTATGTGCCAGCCCACCAAAGCATAGAAGGTAATGAAAAAGCAAAAAGCAATCGATCTAGCTAGAAAAGGAGCAAACAGTCCACTAACTGGATCTCCAACTCCCAGTGGATGACATTCCAAGAATTTACAACTTTGAGAAACACCTCACTGTAGTATTGAGTAATAAAAATTATTGGAAGGAAGAAACGCTTACTCAGCATATAAAAGACCGTACCATAACGTGGTATACTGATGCTTCTAAAACCAAAGCAGGAGTATTTGGGCCGAAAACTAAATACTCCGAACCAATGTACCCCAGTATCCTTCAGGCAGAAATTTACGCTATCGAAAGATGCGTACAATTTATCTTAGATGGGAACTATCGAAAACAGGAAATTGTCATCCTATCCGATAGTATCCGATAGCAGCACTTAACGCGATCAACTCAGTAACCATCAATTCGAAGTTGGTTAAAGAATGCCTAGAGAAGCTCAACAAATTAAGCAAAGAAAATAGAGTCATCTTACTCTGGGTGTCTGCTCACCAAGGGATAGAAGGCAATGAAAAACCAAATGATCTAGCTAGGAAAGGAGCGAACACTCCACTAACTGGACCAGAACCGTTCTGTTTTCCAAACGGGAACCGACTGAAAGCGGAACTGATGAATCTGGAAGACTCCATCCGTAACTTGGAATGGGTGTCCTCCAACGGTCTAAGACATTCGAAAAAGTTCCTCAGAACTTACGACCGAGAAAAATCAAAGGTTTTCCTTGATTTAAATAAAAACAATCTTCGGATTGTCACGGGGTTTCTAACAGGACACTGTCTCCTCAACGACCACCTCAGTAGGCTGAAGCTGAGAAACTACGGCGAATGCAGATTCTGTGGGGAAAATGGGGAAACACCAGGACAGCTTATCACTGAGACCGCCTAACCATTCGTGCCATGAACTTTGGTACGGCTCATGTCGAGGATGGAGAGCTGGCCTCTGAGGATCCGTCTCAGATACTGGCTTTTGTTAAAGTCTTGATACTGTATGATGAGTTATAACTCGTTTTAACTCAAGAAAGGGGAACACATAATAGATCTATAAGGGCACGGTGATTAACTCCCCTCCTAAACATTCTATATTCTACATTCTAACTGGATCAGAACCGTTCTGGTTCCCAAGTGAAAACCAACTAAAAGCGGATCTCAAGAACCTGGAAGACTCCATCCGTAACCTGGAATGGGAATCCTCTCTATTGCCACCGAGAAAAATCAAAGATTTTCCTTGATTAAAGTAAGATCAATCTAAATCGGATTTTCACGGGGTTCCTAACAGAACACTGTCACCTCAACGAACACCTCACTAGATTGAAGTTAAGAGACAATTAAAGCGAAGGCAGATTCTGTGAGAAAATGGGGAAACACTATACATCTCATAACTGAATGCGCCGAGACGACAAACCATTCAAATGCATTGACGGCTTAATTTTGTTTGTTTTATATGACAATTTGGTTACTTAAAACTAACCAACATTCGCGGAAACCAGTATTAAAGATATTCGGAAACAAAGTGAAAATGGGATAGTCTGTATAATAATTTTGAACTAAACAGTAGAGACTATTATAAGATAAACTGAACTCATTATGATGTATTCATAAATTTTAATTACGCAACAAGTAAGACAAAAAATACCTTTAATGGCCGAAGCTAATGCCACTCCGATTCCAGTATTTCCAGAAGTAGCTTCAATGATCGTCATCCCGGGTCTTAAAAGTCCTTGTGCCTCGGCATCTTCTATAATTCTTTTTGCTATTCGGTTTACTGAACCTCCTGGATTGAAGTATTCCAATTTTGCATCTATAATTAGCAAAAACAAGAAGATACTTTTACTACATAACAACGATATACTGTGTGTTGCATCGCCGACTTAATATAGAAAATCACATAAATTTTAAAATGGTGAATAAGTTTCATTTTATTCTTACACAAATATTTATTTGAAATTTTAAAGAACTCCTTAAATGAAGCAAATTTCATTTTGAAAGGTTTATACGAATTCGTTCTTGTGTTATGAGATACTAAATACTAAATTTTTTGACAAACATTTAAAATAATGCGGTCCTGATCAAAAGAACATAACAATCACAAGTTGTGTCACAATATGTCAAATCTATTATGATTTTCTTCTACAGAGATCTGTCAAAAATATTATCAGTTATTCCTAGTCCTGATCAAACAAACAAGACAATCTCAAATTATGTCACAATATGTCAAATCTATTATGGTTTTCTTCTACAGAGATCTGTCAAAAATATTATCAGTTATTCCTGGTCCTGATCCAATAATTATCAAGGTATTATCTGGGTGAAAGTTACAAAAGTGTAAACATTCGAGAATCATTCTTAATATTGTTGCTGTTTTTCGTCGGTTCCGTGGATAGAAAGTCACAATTTCATTTAAAAACACAATTTATTTACAATTGGCAACAAACAACGATTAAAAGACTTAAAGAACTGTTTACACACTATGTATTTATAACTATTTATCTAGAAAGAATTTATTTTGAATTTAGCGCAGCAACTGTACTCGTCTATTTATTTCTGACGAGGACGATCTCTTCAGGCCCCAGCCGCCGGTTTTTATACCCACAGCTAAAGAGTTTCTCGAATAATCCATAGATCATTAGGTGCATAGAGAAGGTTTCGAATGTTCTCTTATGTACCATTGCGATAAAAAAAGTAGTAGGTACAACAAAATATGATTTAATCTGCTGGTCTATAATAAAATATTTTCTTTCAACATCTTTCCGTTTTCACACTGTATATTATATAAAATAATAATTTTTATTTCACACGTATACCCTATCAATTATTATTACCAAATCCATGGTAACGCCTAAAAAGTTAGGTGGCATAATTATATCACGGCATATAAATCAATCGGCAGGCTAACTCGCTTTGGCGGGAACCCTACGCGCATATCCTCGCGCACCCCGCCATTTGCGTTTCCATCAGCAGAAAGTAACCAGTGTCGTAGTTTTTTCAGCAACAACACACAGTTACGGCAGATTCGAGTCAGTAGCGTACAGGGCTTAATTTTATTTTGATTTTTTCTGAATATTCTTTGTTTTGTTGTTTTAGTATTTTTTGTTTATTATGTGATATACTTGGTTTCTTCTAGTTTTATTTTCTGTTCTTATGTACTATGATTTGTTTTAGTATTTTATTTTGTTGTTCAATAAAAGTTTCTTTCTCTTTCCTAGAGATCCTATTAAGTATGTATATATGTGGATTAATTATTTTAACATATTTTAGTTATGAAAAAACAGTAGTATACATATTAGGACATTCAGCTAAATATGAAGACCTAATTAAAAATCTTAACAAACCTTTTAATATTAGTAAAATTTGTAGTTGTATCTAGACATTAAAATTAAATTTAAAAATCATTATATTATTAATTTAAATATACTATAAAAGTAAATAAAATGAGTATATCGAAAATAAATTAACTATACATATTGAAGATATAAATAAGGCCCACAAAAGTTGTCTTCTGTTCATTTTGAATTTAAAATTTTACCAATCTAATTTTGTAAACTGCATAAAATAATACAATGCGATTCTACTTTGTTTCCCGCCATGAAAAAAATAGAAGTTTCTCAAAAAAATTGTGGATTTGTTAATTTGTGAAATTTGAATATTACTGTACTCTGCTACGCCCATTGATGGGCATAATTTGTACGTAGCCTCTTATATTGTTCAATAAATATTTTATTGGTATTCCTTTAATTCTTGTTTGTAACTCCTGGCATGTTTTGTTAGTTGCATGTTTTAATTTTAATTGTTTATTCTCTACAAGTGAAATATTTAATTGATTTTTTCATTTTTACTTTCGAGAAGTATAAAAGGGTTAACGAATCATTTGTTTGGACAAAAGTATTGTGTAAATAAAATTCAGTTTCAGTTAATTACAGTATTTTTTAATACGACCCTGTTTAACAATAGTTTATTTTCTGGGAAATTCTTTGATACGTTTTAATCCAGCCCTGACTAGGAAACGATAATGCAGGCTGTCGCTAGTCAAATTTTAGAAATTTAAACAATGAATCGAGCAGAGTTAGCCTGTCGTGTGATTTATATGCCGTGATTATATTATATCATATTATATCAGTGAAGTATATTATCGATATCTTTATAGACCAGGAGTTCTATATGGGACTACTAATTCTTGTACTACCTTTTTTGATCGCAATGGTACTATTCAATTCCAGTGGAACTCGATTGTTCTCGAAACTTCGAATGAATCACATGCGCCCTATTCTTATTAAAATTGAATTTGAAGATGGTATGTTTTTTATTCTAATCAGGACCGTATTATTTTTTGATTAATTTAGTATTTTGTATTTCTCATAACTCAGGAACGAGTTCGCATAAATCATTCAAAATTTGTTTCATTTTAAGGTTCTTGAAAAGTTTCAAATACATTTTTCTTGGAAAGTAGAATAAAATGGGGAAACTTATTCATCATTTCCTTTTAAAAAATTTACATGGGATTTCCTATGATCAGATCGGAGTGATGCAACAGACTGTATATGAAATTAAAAATTGTTTATATTTCCTTTCTCGAATTTATAAGTTTTTTTTTTAATTAAATGAGACTGTGTGTTAATGATATATGGTACCTATAAATTTTTGCGTTTTCCTAATTATGTCACGCGATTAACCTAATAAACGTCAGATAAAGGTACGTAAACGGGTCACGGACGTAAACATATTTTTAATAGATATAAAAATATATTTAAAAATATTATAATAGATAATAATATAATCCACTTCCTATACCAATTAATACTACTTCAATTTATGAGCGATAAAAAGGATTAATTTTAGAATTATATCGTAATTCAAACAGCATTGTAATAAGATACTTGGTGTATAAAATAATTAGGCTCAATTAATAAATTAAATAAAAAAATTATAACCTTAATTAAGATAAAGTCTTTCGACCAAGTGAAGAGAAAATTTTGGTAGACGACATCAAATGGTAGAAAATACCATGTATTTTTGTACTGAAATGACAGACAACTGTCACTATCATAGATATTTTCGTTGGACAGACTATACAAATAAGTCGGTGCTATAAACCAGATTACTGTTTTATATTAAAACTTTCAAAATAAGATGGGATTTATAACCATTCGCGCGTTCTTTTACAAGAGACTAGAAAAAAGTACTAAATGCTAGAAGGACCATTTACAAAAAATAAAATCAGTTGTCGTTGGAGTTAATAAAATGTGTCTAATGATGTAAATTGTGTCCAATGAACTTATTTTGATTCGAAAAATAATGCATTATTTCTATGTTCACGGAATATTGGTGTGGATAATTGCATATTATTTATATTCGGCAAAAAAATTGCAACTAAAGAACACACAAATATTTTTAACATATGTATGAGATTTTGAAATACGTAAGATTGGACAAGGCGCAGATGGGACATAGCATTGAGCATTGTGCATGTTTGGCTATCGTTTCAATGATAGATGATCATATGATCATAAGTTTTATTTGTTGAGAATATACAGGGTGGTCCGAATTGTTTTAGGGAAACTTCGGCAACATATTCTGCAGGTGATGTACAGTAAAGTTCGGTATAAATGTATATGAACAAAGTTATTTTCGAGGATATTATATGTAGAAATTTCATTTTTATTCCATTTTTTTTTTTTTTTTATTTTTTTAAAATGGTGGAACAATTTATGTTTTGTATAGAAATTTGATTTTGATGTTAATATGACTTCTACTAGTAGAGAGCGCTACCTACATATTTTAACTGGTTTGAAGAGTAATAACTTTCGTCCGTACCAGAAAACTAAACCACTGAGTAAAAAATAAACATTTCACGACAAGTTTTTACATGAAAAGGGTCTTTTAAAAATCACTACGAGCAATGGTTTCGAGATATTTGGAATCGAAATTAATAATACCCATCTAACAAGCATAGCTTAGAGACGAGAAATATAAAATAACACGCGACCGGTGCTATCCCAAGTCTCTTCCTATATTGTACAACTGTACCTGTCATCACTACATAAATTAAAACATGTTGACTAAATACATAACTGAAATCATAAATTTGAAATGATTTTTTGTGTCAAAAGTTCAACAGGAACTGTTTTATCATCATTGTTTACAGAAAAATTTATGATTAATTTAGAAAAATAAAAATTTCCAAATTCTATTATTTCAGTGAAATAACTATCTACTCAACGTAAGTTTTTTTCGTCAATGACATGTATTGACTATTTTCATTCTAAATATTTTAAAACGGTTGCTCATAGCGATTTTAACAAAGAGATATTTTACGTAAAAAGTCACAGGATACATTTTGCTCGGTAGTTTTACACAACGACAAAAGTTAATAAGAGCTTCAAAAACAGTTAAACACATGAAGGTGACGCCCCCTACAAGTGGAGTCATATTGACATCAAAATCAATTTTCCTACATTAAAAAAAAAAAAACTCCCAGACATCAATTTTCATCCAAATATCATGCCTACTTCATAAATTATTTAAAACAATCGAAATAGAAATGAAACTTCTACACCCTGTATCTCCGAAACTAAGCATTTTAAGACATACATTTATACGAACTTTTTTTACTTATTTTTATCTACAGAATATGCTGCCGAAGTTTCCGGAATACAGTTCTGACCACCCTGTATACAGATGTGTCAATGTTTTTACTACATAGGTAATAAAAGGTACATACTAATAATAATATCACCTGTATTTCAATTCACTTACATATATTGCACTTAATCCCGGCTTTTTTTGGTATTGAATTCAATTTTACCATGGGTGTGTTTCCTATTAAAGACAGAACGTTGGGCACAATTTTCTCGGTCCTTTTCCTAAAATAGAAAAATGTTAGGTACCATTTTTATTAAGGTAAGTAATTCAATATACAGGGTGGCCCATCGAAAACGTTCCGCAAGGCATAACGGCTAGGGTATTTGTTTTTTCAAAAAATCCAAAAACACGTCAATTCTGAATAACTTGCGGGGTCACTTCGCGACAAACATCAATAATTCGTCTTCGCAGGTCTCCTAATGAGGCGGGTGAAGTGCTATACACTTTACTTTTTATGTATCCCCATAGAAAAAAGTCTAAAGGAGTCAAGCCGGGTGACCGGGGAGGCCACTCAACTGCACCCCTTCGTCCTATCCAACGACCGGTTATTGTTTAAATAATTACGCACATCTTGAGAGTAATGTGGAGGCGCACCGTCTTGTTGAAATATTAGTTCCGCTTCAACGTATCCAGGATTGTTCTCTATAATGTCAGTTAGGGCTAGGTCGATGGTATTTTCCAGTAAATCCAAGTACATATCACCATAATTGTTAAAAAGTTTAACGATATTGAAAAGAACTTCAACCGCTTCAACGCCCAAGTCACAGAATAGCTATCTAGCAACTACTGCACCTGATCGTTCAACCTTCTGACAAGGGAAAAAATGCGTAAACATCTAGAAATAATAAGAAAAAACTGCAAATTGGTCGAAGGAATTTATCCTTATCGTTACTCTGATAAATGTTTAAATAAAATTTTCAAATTTCAATCCTTCATATTTTCTCAATGACTTGACCGATTTTCAAAACGAAGTGGAAAGTATAGAGAATAGAAAGCTCTTTTAATTGCGGTACAACTTGACACCCCTTCCCATTTGAAAAAATTGGGATGATTAACCTCTGCTTAGAGGGTTGAAGATTTTGCAATCATTTTGGGGCAAAAAGTTGTCCCTCCTCACAAACAAAATTGACGTGTTTTGAATTCTGAAAAAAAATTACCCTGGCCGTTATGTCTTGCGGAACGTTTCGATGGGCCACCCTGTATATGTTAAGGATAATGATGTACTCGTATACATTTATGACAATATCTAGCCACTAACGTAAGTGCTCAATATCATCAGATAATATCGTCATTGCAGAGATTTTTACGAAAATGGCCATGAATTAAGGGTAATGTTAAAAATGTTACTCTTTACTGGCTTTTGTCAGTCATTCTCCGGACAACAACGTTATTGACCATATACTAAAATAAGAAATGTTGAAATACAACAGCCATCAGCAGCAACAACAAATATAACAGCTAACATCTCAATGTTTCTGTTAGACCTTTCCACTGGAACCGGACATTCAATTTTAAAATCAAGAAATTCCAAGCAAACGAAATTCGTATTAAAATTTAATGAATAGCACAGAGAATCACGAATCATAATAATTAAAAAATAATAATAATTAAATTAATAATAAATTAAAACAATAATTGGCATAAAAAATATCAAGGTACCCCAAAAGTGGCTCACCATAACTTCTTTGTGTTTTTAGATAAAAGAATGAGATTTAGTATGAAAGTATATGAAATAAATTAAGATTGATTGATGTATTACATTCTTTTCGACGGCTCCTGTTTCAACTGAAACGACTAGCTTTGATTTTAAATGACACCCCTCGGTATCTTTAGTTTATTCGATGAAAATTCACCTTGGAATAGAATGACATCATATATCAACTTTTGACATTTTCGCTTAAAACAAAATTATAAATAAAAATAAAGAAATTTTATTTATTTTTTATTTATATTTGGAAAAAGCACGTTTTTCCAAAAAAAAATTTTACGAATAATTTGGTACCACACACTATCATTCTATTTCGTGTCAAATTGTCGTTATGAATCGCATATTGCAATTTTAAATAAACCATATTGGAAAATGTCTAAAGTTGACATCTGCTATGTCATTCTATTAAGAGTGTCATTTTCTATCGAATAAAGCAACATAGTGAGGTTGCCATTTAAAAATTAAAAGTTGTAGTCATTTCCCAGGAAAACAGGAAAGGATCGAAAACAATTGATATGTCAATCAATCCCAATTTTGTCATATTACTATCAAGCCAAAATCCAAATCTCGATTTTATCTGAAAATATAAAAGCTATAGGGTGAGCCATTTTGAGACGTAATCGATATAAAAAAAATAATTTAAATACATATTTACATTACTCTTTTAAATTGTAATTGTAATAATTTTTGAATTTCTAAGCATGTATCATCTAAAACGCTAAAAGTAAAATAACATAATAAAAGTAAAATAAATAATAAAAAATAATTTAAAAAATATTTTAACACCTGTATATTTTAGTTCTTGAAAGACTTATCTTCCACTCAAACTGCCAAGTAGCGATAAAATAATTACGTTATTTATAAATTAAACGGTGCATATAAAATGCATGCTTTAATTAGTGTTACTATATAAATTAATAGTTATTAGTTCAAATAATGAATTAGTTTCAGGTGAAATGGACTAAAGGAAACAGTAAAAAAAGGAATCTGATTTTGTTTAATTAAATTTATTCACTCAATCTAAAAGAATGTATACAGTAGTAGATTAGATTAATTGATAATAAAAATGAAGAAATGAAAAGCCTTTAATTAGGTATTGAAAAGCATAAGAAAGAAAATGAAATTTTACAATATTCTCTGTCAGTTAAAAAAAAAATACTGATCAATTAAAATTAATGAATTAGTTTCAGGCTTATGGATCAAAAGGAAACAGTAAAAAAAGGAATGCGGGATTTTGTTTAATTAAATTTAATCTTACCAATCTTGTGTAGAGTGGGGATAAAATACCCCTTTCTTAAGTGCATCTTTAGTCCAAGTGCATTGTCTTGTAGCGTCAGGTGGCAATAAACTTTTCCATTTTATTGGTGCAAATATAGATAATTTTCCCATCATCATCCACAGTGCATCCGAGATGATTAGAATATCCATTCATAGCACACTTAACTTCATTTTTCTCTTTACAAGATCCCATTTTGAGATTTCTGCAACAAATTTCAATCGAATAATTCGTATAATGAACTACTGCAAAGGTATCACGAAATGCCGACAGATAATCACCTAATATCAATTTCACTTTGTGTTCATGTGTCATTTCAGTCGAACAAAATTAGGGATAATAATGGATTTAATTTAATATTTACAGAAATTAAGAGCTTTTAGAGTACTAGTTGACAAGTAGTGAGTAGAATTTCATTTTAACGAATTTAAAACCCAATCTCCAGAACATTGTTATATTTGTTTAAATTATAAATTAATTTTTTTATATAAAACAATAATAATGAAAATACATTTTCCTTTAAGTAAGTAAATTATTAAATTGTTATGCAACCCCGTCTAAAAGAGACTCATTTTGGGCTATCAAATCGTCAATCAAATGGCGGCAAATTAAAGGCTATTATTTATCCCTTTATATATTGATGATCGCTAAATCGACCACTTTAATTTAATTGGCGCGAAAAGTTAACGTAAGCGGTTGAATATTTGACCAGTAACATAAGATACAACATTTAATGAACAGTTCTTCCATAAAATCAATAAAATGAAAAAATATACGAAATAATATACATTTACTGATTTCTTTCGAAAATCGACAACTATGAAACTATGATCCCTTCCCGGACACAAACGGTACATTGTGAGACAGGAAATTCTAGAGTGAAACAAGCCCTATAACATAGGATACAACATTTTAATGAACAGTATGGAAATGAAAATATAAAATTACACCAATCACAAGCACTAGAATCGTACATCCGATGAACGGAGGCATGAAAATGCAATAAATTTAAAAACTGCGTAATAACCAATCGAAGTCTTCAAAAAAATAAATTTAACCAATAAAATTAATATCGTATCATCGTATCGTTATATTTTCGACCGTTTAATTCCCATTGCAGGTTACGGCTGAAGTCTCCCAGGTTTTTATACAGATAATTTGATTTAAATAAATTTAGTGGTAAAATCCCCGTTATTCCTTTAGGTATTCCCGCGTCTTATAAGCGGTAATAAAGTCACTTGAAGTAAAGTTTTATTTCCAAAATCAAGACGGCGGCGCTGAGCTTTACGAGGACGCGGGACCTGCGACAATGTACTTAACGGTTTGACGTTAATTTGCGCCGAAGAAATTCACGAAATACCGCGTCGCATAATCGTCGTGTAATCGCGACAGAACTGCTCGTAAAATGGGCTCTTAAATCTGGCACGTTTCAATACAGGGTTGTTTTGCGAATAATTTTACGACAATTCGTTGTTCGTGAGTAGTTTTTCGAATTAGGGTGTCCGTTATTTACCAGGTTAATCATTTCTCTCACAGCAATACGTAACTGAACGAAGCAATACCG